AGAGGCTATTCGAGACGCTTGGTTATATGGGGGCATTTCGCGATAATGTTGTCGTTGATGAAGTAGCTGCAAACCGTTTCAAAGTGACTGCGCTAGGTGAATTACCTTACTGGTGGGATGAGTTCAGCCTGTAAAATCACCAGGGTCCAAACTCACCGTAATCGGTTTTCGCTGGTGCTCTTTAAATAGCGCTAATGTGCGACAATTCGGTTGTATTCATTATTTTGTATTACTATCATTCTACTACTCCCGTACTCCTATCTAGACAATCAGTCCACCAGAGAATGGCGTCTTCATGAGACCGAACAACGCAAAGCAATGCTTGCTGCATTGACCGCAGCGCAGCACCGTCTCCCGAAGGGTTCTCTTCGACCGTGCACCACAGAAGAATTCGAACTGGCTGTTCGTAATGCACCGAGTAATGCTGCTTGTTGGACCGCATACATGACTCACGTACTGAGCGGGGGAGATCGGTCCGCGTCTATAAATGAGGCTCGGGCAATCGCGGAACGAGGTCTGCGCGCCATCATGAACGCGCCCGGTTTGGAGCCTGGAGAACAAGATGCACAACAAGCACATTTGCTTTTGGTCTATCTGGTTCTTGAAGCAAAAGAACTAGAACGATGCACGCAACAGAAAGAGGCACACACTCTGTACCATTTGGGGTCAGACCCGGTGCTGGAGTTGAATGATCAGGCCAACCGACTTTCACAGGTTCTCTCTCGGCTGGTTAATTTAGACCAAGCTGAGTTCACCCGGAAGGCAATCGAGACAATGGCTGATATCGGACAGTTTGAGGTAGGTTTTTAATTGTACCGCGATTTGTTTACCTCTGCTTCAAACCAATATATCTGAAATGAATTCTAGAGTCTCATCAGTTTGACGCCTTTCTTACAAGTAACAACTAACCTTACTTCACTGCTATTTGCGACAAAAGAATGTGGATGGTATTCAATGCTGCTTGGTACCGAGCAAACCAAACTGTAAGCACGAACAGGAATCTCCCGGAAGTGTCATGTTATATTTTTCTTATCGTTTCGTTTATCACCACTGTATACATGATCTCTATTTTTTGTCAAAACCGCCTCCAGGAATATGCGCCAAATGATGCCCTCATACTGATTGACGCGAGATTTCTTCTGTCCCGAGAAAACATGCTATCTACTGTAAAGCAGCTGTTTACTCCGCCAAGTAGCATCATTTTTTATTCTCACACACAACACGTGATCCACTAAGAAAGACCAATAGTCTACATATACAATGCGAGTTGGCATATCGATCAGAAGAGTTGGCTGGTGCTTCAAAAATCGCACCACTGGGTGTATTTTTACACAGAACTCGCTTCGATTTAATGACCGTAACGGAGATTATACAGGCATCTTGAGTTAACAGTTTGGTTGAAATAGCTCTGTATCCGAATTACCTTCCGGTTCATACATTCTTTTCCTTGTCGAAACTGGATGAGTATGCATGCTTCTGATAGTTCAAAAAAATATTATTAACTCACGTTGGAAATTTCTATTCATCCCAGTGAGTTTACGCGGTGTCTCACATCGATTCACCGATTATTATCGCAATTATCTAATTTTCCGAAGTCAGCATTGATTGTGGTGTGCTGTCTGAAACTGTTTTCCAGCTGGTCATACTACCTTATTCCATTGAGGCTGAATTTCGATCTATTCCGTGTGTGTTCGTTCGTTGCTATTTAGTACACGGGTAGACAGCTCGACTAGCTGTGTAAGTAAATAAATTTAGGGGAAGTCGCAAATAAGGTACAGGATAAATTCATAAAGATTTTTAAAACACAATCTATTTGAAATCCGCACGGTTTTTTACTTTGGGAGCCCTAACCGGAGCCTTCGACTCGAAAGTCTGACCCACAAGGCAATGGGGCGTAAATCTAACGTGGGAGTGGGAACGAAGCACCCGTGTGGGAGCTTCTAGAGACCTGTCAAGCAAGATCTTTGAATTTCGATTAGTTGTGTTGTTCGCTGGTGCGTTGATTGTCGGTTCACTTTTCGGGATCGGCCCTTAGCCTCATACACCCAATTAGACAAGCAAAACGTAGACAAGACAGCACTGTATTGGCTTGAGCATCCCAGCTTGGGCAGATGGTAGCTGTCCATTGCACTGCGAAGACTTCTCCCACCATCGAGAGGAAACCCCGGATAACCCGCTCCTACGTCCATCTAGCGGGTTTTCTGACCGGTAAACTGCCCCTCACCGTGTTTTTTTGCTGGAGTGACCTCCCCAGGGGCGGGTGTGGATAGAAGAAGGAAGTCAGGAGGTGTCCAAGCAACTGGGTTTGTGAGACTGAGCTCTTTCTGGCCTCTACCCGTTGACCTTTCAGGCATGATTGAATCTGCGGCTGTGAAAAGCCATCATGTTTAGCCCGCAGGGTCATGGAGGAATGCAAGGCATTGTAATGCGAACGTACTCCGGGCTCTCGCAGCGCAGCGGAGTGAACGGATATGCGCGACAGGATATCCCTCGGCTCGTATTCTCNGCAGCGGGAGACGATACGAGGCTTTGCGGGCGGGGAACGGCGGTGGGGATGCAGGACACGGGTTGGCGAGGAAACACTGGCAGACAGGTCTTCCGTGGGTCGGGGCTTAGATTAAACCTGCAAGGCAAAGCAAGCAAAACGCCATGAATCGAAAAGGTCCAGTGAGATACAAGCACTCACGATAAAATATTACTCGCGCGGTTGCCAAGCATTACACCAGCACACCACATCAAGGTGCAGTCCCTTCCTCCGTTTTTTTCCTAAAATCACTGAACGGTATAATGCCTTCCCCTGTGTTTCAATTACCATTTCTTGCACTGTTCATGTTTCTAAATACAAAAATAACCACCAACTGGTTTTAACGTCAATGCTGAACTTGACTCGCACTTTGTGTACAGTTGGTCTGTGAACAATGGACTAAGTTCAGCGGGTAACATGAAGCATTCTCTCGCCTTTGATCTACAACTGTCACTTGTAGCTGCACCAGTTTACATTCATGTGGAGACGGCCGCACAAGAATAACCGTCTGGCAAGACCGGTTGAACTCATTGAGCGTAACTGGGTCAGTCGAAACGCGGCGATTCACAATTCCACCTGTACATGTGAAACAACTCCGACGCTATCGGCGAACGAGATTACGTTGTTGATCCGACAAAAACCTCAGTATGGTCGCGGGTGGGTGTCTAGGGTTGCGGCTGGTTACCCTTCCCTTGCACCTCGCGAAATGCCCCCATATAACCAAGCGTCTCGAATAGCCTCTGCTGAGGAAGCCCTACTCACTGCCTTCCCGTGGCGGAGGTGTTTCCTAACCAAAGTGAGAGGAGAAAAAGCCAACACTCAAGGCTATAACCGGGTTGATGAACCACTGGCAGTTCACTTACGCGAGTTGACTAGAAACCCTGATTCTAAACCAACCAAGAGGAGGCGCACGAACCACGCACGCCTTCCTGGTTGTGACAGTAGTCACCGGCTCGATCGGGCATTGAGATGTATTGGACACCTTGGACGTTTGACCCCATCCGAAGGATGAATGATCCGATGAACTGGACACCGGCTCCAAATGGACTGCGGACTGTGAGCTCCGTTCTGTTATCTTGCAATTCTGGCTTCTTAGCCAAAGGCTTCAGGTGGGGGCCCGAAGTTATCCCAATTCCTCGGCCAGGGCAACCGGGAAGTAACATGCCCACGCAACCAATGAACACATTCGACATTTTTCTTTGTTCATGTTTTGCGGCACATTTGCCAGTTCTCTGATTGATTACGTGCTGAAATAAATATACAATTTAAGAAATTTGTATAAAGGAAAATGCAGGAATCCCAGAGCATACTGATCGCCGAAAGCCTCAGTATGGGCAGCGATGGACATCTTTGATGGTGACTGAAGATGGTCCGGTTGTGAATTCCTCAAGAAAATCCACCTGCCTTGTCCTGGGTAACCTGGCAGTAATGTGCCCTTAAGCCATTCGTGGACGTTTTTCTTTTTTATTAGGATGATTGTACCATGATGTGCCCGACACACTGTCCTCAGGCAGGTGTGAAATATAATATTTAATGAAAGTGGAAAGGCGGTATGATTCTGAACTCGTCACCTCAGATGCCTTAGACAGTGAGAAAACACAAAGTAGCGAACAAGCTCGTTTTCGGTGATTCTTCTACAGGCTAATACATCATAATTTATATCAATCGTTTTGGCAGGGGGGAGAGATCAGAGATTTATTAGCCTGTAGAAGAATCACCGCAAACGAGGTTGTTCGCTGCTTTGTGTTTTCTCACATGGGGTATGGATGGTATATTCGGACCATTGAAACAAGCCTTAGACATTGTTGATTGCACCTGTTTGTGTGAGGGCTAGAACTGTACTCTCGTACAAAAAGTAAACCGAGCGATTTTGGGGGCTACACTTGTGCCAACATTTCATGAAATCTTCATTCAGACAGTTCATTGTCTCGCTAATCCGAAATAACGTAAAAAAGTTAAGTATCTATTTCTGCCTGAAATTCGAGTCAATTTCTTGCCAGTGACGTGTATAATCAGTTCTATTTGACAGGCAGGGATTGTGCTTCCGCGCCTAGTCAAACATGTTAGCATCGACATACCCCATTCAAGTGGTTAGTTTGACTCCCTAGACTGACTTTCATTCTTCTGGAAGTTTGGTCACAGGAAATGTTTGTTCAGATATAATTTATGTCAGTTTTGAGGCTGAATTGTATTGAAGGGTGGGGGCGATTAGGTAACTATTGAGATGAAGAAGTCGACACAGGAAGGCGTAATTCTGTAACCTAGCTCATTTTGTGCTAACAAAGCACTTGGGAAATTTCAACATACTTTTTGGTACCTCATACTTCATCAAGCATTTCCACAGTGGGGATCTATCTACCAAATAAAAGGGCACTGATGTGCCCAGGAGCAGTTGGACCATGTGCAAGTGCTCAGGTTGTCGATGGTGTCGATCTGCGACAACAGAGAAACTAGGTCAGTTTCTCACTAGTTAACCATTCAAGTATCTTTTGTTCAGTTCACGTAATAGAATGAACGACAGAAGATTGGATGGTTTCAAGGTTTGGCTTACTAATTTGTGGCTGATTCGTCTACCGCGGAATATCATTTGGAAGACGGGGGTACCTACGAGGATTTAATTGCCTCTACAGTCCGGATTTTAGAGAACAACTTCGTTTGGTCACTTTACCGCCCAGTTGTGTGGTGGTGACGCAGTGGTTTAGTCTCTGTCACTGGCGTGCTGTGGACCTTATAGTCCGAGGTTTGAGACCTGCCACTGCCACCCGACTTTGGTGGTAGGTAGCGTTGCTATCGTCTGGTTCAATACCACGCCTAATCCATCGGGGATTTATGTGGTTCGCCACTTCAAGTCCTGGGGCTTAGGTTACCGGTTTCCATGATGGAGCAGCAGTTCTCTATGGTTATGGGGTTCGCCCCGTGTACTGTTCACGACACAAATGTATGTATTAAAAAAGGTTCTATCCCAGAACTTGAAGAAAACCGCCAGTTACCGAAACTTTATGGTTTATTAGTGGCTGGATCTGTTTATATATTTCCTCTTTTGTGTACGTGAAATGCCCTGTAACATCAAGAATCATGTCGTAACTAACCGAAGAGCTCACTTTTTCTTGACACGCCCCTTTGCTTTTGTGTGACTTCAGGACTATTTGGCACTTTGTGAAACAAAATTGTTGATCGGTTTTAGAGCCTTATCTTGGATATGATAATAACCCAGTCCACGTCGCAAGTGTCGTATGTCTTCCGGGCGGTTACTAATCAGTGGGTTGCGTAAATGCTGACAACTTTCCTTGTTCATTCGCAGTCTTATTGAAGGCGGTGGAGGAGAATTTCTAACAGACATATCTTGGTTTCTGTTTTAGCGCGCTGAAGACCTTGCTCGTCGCCTAATCAAATCTTGTCCCCAGGATGTGGATCGTTGGCTGTCTCTTATCAAAGTTCGATTCCGTGCAGGCCGTGTTGCTGCGGCTCGTGAAGCGCAACGTAACGCCGTAGGCGTTGTCCGGTCTGTTCATTTGCCGCGTTTACTCACAGGGTAAGTATCGATACCACTCCCTGGGATCTTTATTTTTATTTAGTTTGTTTTTCTCAGCCACTGCCAATTCACCTGTCTATTACAAATGTTTTGATTTAAGTCTAGTTCAAGTAGGTTTAATCCCGATTTACCTGCTTACACGACTTCGATCACCAAACCGTCCACAATTTTCACAATGTTGTACCGACGTCTGCAGTGCAACATACCATTTGAGGTCTGCACCACCAAATCTGCACTCTACTGAGGTGCGTCTCCAGGTAGTGGAAAGGAGAAGGGCGTCTATTCGTGGATAAGTGGGCATTGCCTCACTAAACAACCGGTCTCGAACAATCAGGATGCGACGAGCTTTTATCTGACAGACGATCTCTGTTTGCAGCAGCACCCCACTGGTGTCCGCCAAAAGCATTTTGACGGATGTGAACCTGACCTACTATCAAATAAGACCATCCCCACTTACCTTTTGCCCTACCGGGGACATTTGATAACGCGCGGGTCAGCGGAGGTTCCTCGAAGGAGAGACTCAGGTGTTATTTGAGATGTCACGTAGCGCTTCTGTCTTCCCCCAAATTGCCTGTTGATTCCCTCCTAAAGCCGACTTGCTCCAGGTAGAGAGTGGCCTAAAGCTGACATTTATAGTAAAGTGCATCCCGTTGGTTACATGAAGATGCAAATCTGTTCATACTTACAGGTATACGACTGTAACTGTTCACACTACTTCTACAAATAAATTGCATATGAGCCGTACTGCATTCACGTGGTGTATTGTCCCGATGCACTTGCCATCGTTTCTCAAACTCAGAAAATCAGGGATGTTGTTCTATGTTCGATTACTCAACTTTTTAGTCTTTACAACCATTAACCAGGCACTTTTATGTACAGGTTTTGGTTGATGTCTTATGACTTGTATGAAAGAGCAAGGAGACCAGGGAATGTTTGAATCAGTGTCTGACGTTCTTGCACCGCTACTTGGGATACATTTGAACCCTCTGACAGACATCCCACCATGTTTGGTTTCCGTGGTCAAGTAAAAAGCGTCCATTTTCATCTGTTTGTCTGCCTTATACCTAAGTGAACCGTTTAGGTATTATCTGTTCGTCTTTTTCTTATTTTTCAATCTCTCGTTTTAAAGTGCTGCACGCCTCGAATTTGAATTTGGTGACGCGGACCGGTCTTTGACACTGTTTCGTGAACAACTGTCCATGCATCCGAAACATCGTGTGATCTACGAGGAGTTCATCAAAGTCCTTCTGTTAGCTGGGAGAACATCGGAAGCCAAGTGAGTGAATGTTAATGTTTATTACCATTGCTATTATCTTTATTCTTTTCGATTGCTGAAAACCCTAATTGGTTTTGATAAGAATTGTCATTGAATGACCATTTGGAGAAAACTTGTGCGATTTGGGTTACCATGATGATGTCATGTGTTTTAATAGCACCTTCGGTTGCTCTGTTCAGCATGGGTTTTATACCTTCAAAGTACAACCTGACGCTTTGAAACAATGTATTCACTATTCCTGCTTTAATCCCAGGTTTTCAGGAGTTGACCGTCGTTGAATAACTTTTCGTACCAAGATAGTCGTGTTAATAATGTCAATAACCCACTTAAGAAAATGACCGCCGTCATTTCCGATGTTCGAGTTGTGTACACAGGAGTGAAACACTCACTTGTGGCGTCGACGTCGACGACTATTCCTTGAAGTTGAAAAGTCACACTGCCACTGTGCAGTCAGTTCCGCTTCACAGTTATCATAGATCCAGTTTATCGATGGAACTCGTTGAACATGGATTTTCGCTTAGTCTTGCTCTAGTCGATCGGGGCGCGCGAATAGCTAATATCGCTGTAGAAATCGTATATTCTGGTTTCGTTGACTGGGAAGTTCGTTGTCACACCGAATTCTATTGACTGGACTTCGCTTTCTAGGACACTTGTCTAGCGGTCGTCTAGCGCATTGCATCTTGTTTACCGATTGATTGGAAGCACTGAAGAGCATGGAATCAAACTGATAGCAGTCGCGGTCTTATTGTCATTTTGACTCAGGTCAGAACGTTGAAGTGTTCTGTACGTACTGTTCGACTCTGTACCTGAGTGGTTCATTTTCTCTCCCTCCCCTGAGAAAATTTCGTTTCCTTTATGTATTCATTGTGAGCTCGGCAACGATAAGCGAAGTTCGCCCCAGTGGTTTCAGATGTCTGGCGATGATGATCATCAGGACGATCACATACACCAACTCCTACCGACCAGTTGACCCAGTAGGTTGGATGATAGAGCGTTACGTCATGATCAATCGTGTTTGTCTTTCGAGTTAAACAAAAAATTGTCCATATGATGAAAAGTTGTATAACCGAACACATGAAATCGTTGAACCCGGTTTTCCTTGATCATTCAGTTACAGTGGAACATTTTATGAATCATGTACAATTCTTGTTATGGACTGTCGAGTTCCATAACATACAGATTAAAACATCTACGGTGCGTAATAATCAAAACCTTGTCCGTGGCAATGTCATGTTTGGTTTAAACCGGTTGGCTTCATGGAGACTATATATTGATTTCTTCCAACAACAACAATTAGGCATAAGAGTGGAAAGATACACGAACGGGAGACGTTTGAATGCGTTTGATGCTGACCGCACTCAGTTTTTCACCTTTAGGACACCGCGTCAGCACCTATCTGGCACTTTACGGGCCTTTCAGATTATGACCACCAATTGCGGCTTTTCTGTTTCCCGGTCGCCGACCTGTTTTGTCCGGAGACCGGGACCACACAAACTCCAACCTCACTTATTCGCCGCCAATTAACCTATCAACCCAATCCAATCGAAGGTCCTATGGATACAGGTACACCTGGGTCATATACATTTTCACTGCCCTAGTCACGTGTGACTCAGTGTTCGATTGCTTATCTGAGACTGATAAATGCAATTAAACCTCCCCGTTCTCGAGGGTTCGCCCCGTCCTTTTGACCTACGGTTGACCTGTTGATTACACTTGATCTGTTTGATACTGTTTCTAGCAATTGTCTCCGCACACATGGATCTTTTTCCGGCAACATTGTTGAACCATCCATCTCATACAATTCCACTTACATTTGCACAAATTAACTGTAGATGCACGAAAATAAGGTCTATTCAGAAAGCATCTAACGAATTCGTTCGTTGAAATGACTATTCACCACAAAATATTCTGTTTTCATTTTTATTCCCGGTCTTCGAACACTGTTTTTTTCTTCCATGATCCTGGTCTGTTGTTGGGTTCAACCTCGTGACCAGCAAACATCACATGCATCGTGATCTTCCTGACTTTTTGTTTTTACGGAAAATGATGAAAACGAAACCATCTGCCTCACCTCCCTCCCCGCTGATTTCTCTATCTGCTTTCCCTCACGTTCAGAACGGTGAAAGAGCAAGCGAAGGAATCGCTCAAGTCGCATGAATTTGACATGGTGGAGAATTTGTTCAAATCGGAGTCGGAGAAAAATCCCGCGGTCTAGCACAATCGAATCAAAGAGCCCCCCCCTATTTCTCACATTTGTCTACACACATTAACATTCACTCTCTGTACAGTTTGGAACGAGTCACAATAAACGCCCTCCACGGTTCTGTTACTGCTTTTTTACTGGCGGTCGTTTTCTCGATTTATCAGATTGCCGACATGTTCTCGTATACTTCCGCAATCGCGTCACATGGGTTCTTCATTTTTTTAATGACGAAGGTGCTCGTCATCCCGGTAAGAATATACAAATGGCCCTGGTTTCCGGTTTATCACGATGGTGGTGGTCAAGTTAAGACCTGGCACGAGGGTATGAAAACCCTAACCAGGAAACTGGGTTACATAGGTCCTGTTAGGCTCCCTGGCTGGGGACCTCGGGATGATCGTAACCGATGGTTAGAGACACCGAGCGATATGGCTGGGTGTCGTAAACAGTGGCGTTCGTGCATCTCCTCAATTTCTTCCCAACCTTAGTCCACTGAACTTCTCCATTTTCCTTTCGACTCCACTTTCAACTTTCCTTTCTCCTATTCTTCATCCCAATGGGCAGCCAAAAGACAGCAACCAAAACCGGCGCGCGAAAGTGCATGGTTAATGGTTGTTCAAACTGAAAAACTGAACTTATCACGATGGGTTTATAGANGAGGGTCGTTTCCGTCATTGCATGGTTGGGTCAAGGTCAGGAGTACCGTATAGTAAATAGTGAGCAATGCTCGAAGTCACGAGAAGGTTGTTTGCACCTATGGATTGCTTGCCTTCACATAGTGGATCAGGGCACAAAATTCAATGGTGTCAAGTTTGCCCAAATGAGCACCCAACGTCCCAAAGAGAACATTCGTATATTCGGAGGATTTTAGTGTGTGTGGGAGAACAAGTTTTTCTGTACGGTTATGAAAATGAAAACAGTTATTATCAATGATTACATTGGATTCGGTGGGATTACCAGAGTATTATTGCGGACACTGCGCGTGGGCAACCAAATGTCAAAGCACAACTGGGCACCCTGGCAACCGAATCCACTAATCTATTCAGTCAGTAAAATGTGAGGAATCTAAATTCTGGTTACTATCAAATAAGTCAGATGAAGTGTCGCTGTATGGTTTCGTTTGAAAGGAGCGGTGAACATTTACTTGAACTTGGTCATGTTAGGTCGAATTAAGTTTCCCGATTGTGGATCACGAGATCAGTCTAATCTATGATTAGAGACACAGTGATCTGATCTAGTGCCGTAAGCAGTAGCTCTTACGCATCCACTCGGAACTTCAGTTTGACCGCATTCTGTATGTTTAACTTTTCAGTTTTATCAGCGTTTCACTTGCCGTGTCTACTACTGTTATGCTTCCAAAAGACCAGCGCTGACTCGAGAAGATTTGTTTATTACGAACCACATTTAGGATGTGGATAAATAAGCGTACATGAAACAAGACGTCTCATTTGGAACATGTCATCGAAATTCCCAGCAGCACTCAGGATAACGAATGGAACAGTCCGTAGTTATCTTTTCGGGCACAGCAATTCGCTCTAAGAGGTCTTGTTTATTTTTGACCGTTGGAAGAAACCGTCAATCCGATTCCTTGGCGGTGGTGGCCAAGTGGTTAGGTCGCCAACTTGTGACCTGTGAGTCCCGGGTTTCAACCGCTTCACCGCCGCTCAGAAGTAAAAGGACATTTATTTATGTGAGTGCAACCTCACACTACTAATACACCACTGTGCTAACAATTATTCAGACAAAAGCCAAAATAATCTCACGAAAATGCAAGGTTAATGGATGTAAAGACTGGAAACTGAGCGTTGCCTTTTATGTCTTGGCAGTAAATGGCACTACGAGTGCGACTAATTGGGGGATTCCTGGAGCATTTAAGCACCTCCTACGAATAGGGCTTTCTTCCTAAAACCATATTCAAAGCCCATGACCTCAATTCTTTGAGGATGTAGAGCCACTTCGAAAGCATGAATGAGGGAGCCTTGCTTACTCCACTCCCACGTCTCTCTGGGTACTGAGAGGAATTATGAGGTGAACTATTTCCCGGTATGCTTTTCCGGATTATCTGTTCCAAACGAACAAGGTTGGCAGTAGAGCGAGACGTTAACTGATGTTCATTGACTGCGCTTTTATCAATCAACTCATTGTGACTAACGGCAGAGGGGGATGAGATCGGTACGCGCATGGAATCGTTAACCTAAGCCCTGGGACTT